TACCTAGATCCTGTTAGAGAAACAGGTATGGGGTAGTTGGTCTTGGTTTCTGTAGGTGTAAACTAAGCGAGGAGCAGAGCCTGGGGCTTTTGCTGCCTCTGGAGATGTACCATGCAAGATAGTGCATGCCATGTCCATGTCCAGCAGCAGCACTGCTGTCTTAATATACATTTAAATAGGGTCTGTGTGAGAAACAGAAAATAGCTCTTTGTCAAGAGAGCGTAAAATAAAGGCAAGCCTGTAATCAGAATGCCAGGTAGAAATTTGGGTGGTGGAGTGTTTGGCTACTTGCTCTATTGCTGCATTTGTATTTGCCTGAAGTTCCTTGTGCTGCTGTTCCTTCTGAGTAAAAGACTTAGAATTGTGCTTCTTTTCTCTAACTCTCTGTCTGCCGAAAGGAGAGGTGTGCTCTGTTACTAAATGTGCATAGTGCTTATGTTAGTTCTGGGTCCGTAGCTGAGACTGGTTGATGTTTTTGTAGCACTAGCAGTAGGGTCACAGTATAGTTCGTGTTCATGTGACACCTAGAAATGAGAAAGTTTGCAGGCGTGGGGGAAAACCTTTCTTTGCTTCCTTTAGACTTCCAGTTAGTTGGGGAATACTAATGGAGTTAAAAGTTGTTTCTAATTTTTTGCCTTCAGTGAATAATTTAATAAGGTTTTTAGAATGTGACAGTCCCTGTTCTTTAAAATGAGATATAATTGCTAGTGCTGGAGTGCAGCCCGGAGTGGGACGACAGCAGCTATACCCAGAAGTGCCATCTCAGATAAGCAGGTTCTCTTGAAGTATACCCAAGCCATTGACATGTTCACTATGGCTCACGTCAAAGATTGCTATTTTCTGCGGCAGGGTGGGTTTTTTGAGGTTTGGTGTGCAGCATGTAATCACAAGTTGGTAATCAGAAAAGGCTGAGTTCTCTCCAGCAGATAGCCCTTCATGAAGTGGAGGCAGAATGAGAACAATCAACTATGGCAGAACACATCTACATCTGTGCATATTATATATATGCATTCATACACATATATTTATATAAAAAGATATATATGTTCCTGATGGCAACAGGAATCTCCAGAGAACTGTAGGCTTCCATGAATTGTTACCTTCAGGATTGCTGCGATTGCACAGCAGTGCAGAAGGCCACGCTGTGACCTCACTGAATTGCATTAGATGGGAATGTCAATATGCACAATTAACTAACTATTGACCTTTAGTACTGAGCTATTTTAGGCAACCAGTCGGGCTGTACAGAGTAACTCACTAGCACACAGCTCCAAGGCTCGTCACTGGAAGTGATATTCCTCCGTGCAAAGGGCATGGAAGTCCACAGAGATTCAGTGAGGGATTATGGGGTTAGAAGGGTCAAATTCAGGCTTAGGCTACACATCACACATGAGCATGGCAGAAACCTTCTATGAGAAGGAGTGCTTTAAAACCTACTGCTGCTGTTACCATCATACATAGCCAGTTTGGCTACTTGGGAGGCTGCTGCTGGGGCAGTAAGGGTGGTGTGTGTGCCAGAAGCTAGAGAGTTGAGAAAGCTTTGGTTGCTTATTTTCCCAGCTTCTTCAGAGCTGAGCCCTCTGTGGGAGCAAGATCAGAGCTCCAAGCTAGCTGAGTTCACCTTTCTGTTTCATTCACTCGTCGCCTCTTCTTTGCCCTGTTCTGGCCCAAGGCTGCCAGTATCTCTTCTTTTGGTAGCACCTCTCGGCCTGACAGCTGCTGTATCTGAGCAAACCCAGGTGAGCTGAGTGATCTGGCCAGTATCAGCTGCAGGTAGCTCTGCCTCTAGACCTGGCGCAACTAACTTCTTAGCCTTTTGACAGCAGCTTGCGTTTTACTACGCTTTTGTCAGGGACTTGTGCCTTGCCTTTAGAGACTCGTTGCTCTGACTGATGTTCCTCTGGCAGCTGAATCTAGGGAAGTGACTGGCATTAAAGCAATGGTTAGTTTTATCTCACCTCGCTATTCTAAGCTGAGTCGCAGTGCAGCTGTGTCAATAGTTTCAGGAGCTAAAGGCATGGGATGAAAGGAGGACAGGGTGATGGAGGCTCATTGAACCGTGGCTTTTGGTGGTAGCCACAGCTTGCATTAGCCTAAACTAAGGGTGGGGCATAACTTCCTCCAATGTTTTGTTGTTCCCCTTTGTGGTGCCTATCCAAGTGTGTTAATTTCTGTTCATATTTTGGTTGTATTTGCATTATATATGAAAATGGAGAAAAGGACCTTCTGTTCTGAAGCAGAAAGATGGGGGAAAAGGAAATGTGCCTCAGATGTGGGGGTTTTGTGAGCCATCCTGAGCACTGCTGGCATCTAGAAACAGAATACTAAGCTTGAAATGCAAATGAAATTCCACAGTTTCTAGTTTGTACTAGTCTTTTGATTTCCCAAGTGGTGAGACTTTGACATTGTCGTGGTACCAGACAGTTGGATCAAGAAACCAGTAACATGGTTTGGGAAGGGAAATTTTGGATCATTGAATCCAATCATCTGCTATTAGACTGTCACATCATTATTCTACTGTCTTTTTCTGGAAAGCTTCATTGCTAAAGTGAAGGAGTTGAGAGGCTGGATTCATTCTAAGCAGGTTACATTCTGAACATAAAACCTGAGACAAATTTATTAATTGATTTGTGACTTTAGTTCCAACAATGTATGAATCTGTTTCCATGGCAGAATACGACATGCTGTTTTACTGGTTCAGGGTTTTGTTTTTAGAAGATTGCTAAATATGTCTTTTTAATAATCCATTATTTAAGTTTTATTAATTTTCCTTTGCATAATTATATCACAGATTATAGTGTCAGGTCTTTCACTTAATTGCCAGAATTTCAGTTTTTTTAAAAAAAAAGTAATTACTGCACAAACTGTTTAAAAGATATGATTTGAAGTTAGAGAACTACATGCTTTTAGGAGAAGTTAAGCATCAAACAGAGACTGAATTTCCAAGTAATACTGGAATTCACCTCACTGTATCAGGAGCCTATGTCATTAGCATGTGCAAGTGGTGTAAAATGTAAAGAACCATAGTTTCCAGGATAAAGCAAATAATTGATTTTTAAGTCTTTGTTTTGTCACAGTCATAACATAGTTCAGTTTGATTTCTGGCCCAATGTTATTTTCTTGGGTTTTATTCTATGCACGTACCTAGCTGGGTAAGATGGGAAATAAGTTACAGAGTCTTACTAAGGATCAAGGGGTGTGTGTTTGAGTGTTGCCTTTGACTCTTGCAGACCTGGCTGTAAATGAATACCTGTTTTTTCAGTCTCGGTGCACCTGAGGCATCCCAGTGTGAGGCCAGATACATTGCTCTCTGTAGTGCTGTTGGCTAGAGAAATAAAATCTAAAAGATGAGTCCTGTGACTTGGAAGATGATTGTTGTATCTGTATTTATAAAGTAGTACATGTATCCTAGTACCTTCTCTCACAAAGAAGAGTATGGATGAGTCCTGTGACTTGGAAGATGATTGTTGTATCTGTATTTATAAAGTATGTATCCTAGTATCCTAGTACCTTCTCTCACAAAGAAAGAAGAGTATAATGTTTGACAGGTACCTTGCTTTTGCTATGAGTGTAAAAACCTGCAGCAGCCTTGTTTGAATATACAATAGAGGCTTCTAATAAATTAAGTATAGAACTGAAGAGTCCTGACAGAGATACAGTGTGTGTGTGTGTGTGTGTACGTGTTGCACCATGACCAAAGATTATCAAAGCAGTGATGACTGAGCTAGCTCTGGTGTCTGAAGCCCAAGCAGAGGGCTGGGCACAGCATGCTTCTCTGGCAGCACACCTTTTGTCATCTAAGGTCACCTCTGGTCTGTTGGCATTCACTTGCCTGGCACAGGTCTCTGCTGGCTGTGCTGGTTTCTGTGCACCCCAGTGTGGTGATGATACTGCTGTTCTGCTGATTGCATTGTTCCTTCCTGAGTTTCTGGCTTTGCTTTGCAGATCAGAAGAGCTGCAAACCTTTGTCTGAATTTTGAAATGCAAGCAGTGTTTTGCAGGGGTGGGTGAGTGGCACAGCCTATCCAGCAGCTGTGGGACGTGGCAGAACCAGGTTTAACACACATGGATTCTCTATTAGGAGGTTATCAACACAGGTCTCCTCCTCACCTAAACCTCTAGGAAGAACTGAGAAGTTTCTCAAAGTGTCACATAGAATACAGTGACAGAAAAGGTCTTTCATACCAGCCCACGGAGTCACAGCTCTGAGTCAATGCTCGTTCTTCCCATATTGATTTTAGATGCTTGTCTATTAAATGTTAAATACACCAAGAGCTTAGCTTCAGTTTTTTGAGTTAGTTCAGCTGTATTCTGAATTCTTCAGTTACTCTGTTTCTCACTGTGCTCTCATTAGGACTTATGAACATGACTTCTGCCACACCTTTTCTCCAGGTAGATGAAACCATGTTAGAGTAAGAGCAGGATGAAAGGCCTCACAAAGTACAAAGAGTACTTCAGGGAATGATCTGGCCTGGCAGATGGTGCTCATGTGCATATCCTGGTATGGAATATAAGTCCCCAAATGGTATTTGAGTTACTGAATTACTGACAGTTCTGTCTTGTGAAGAAAACCCCAAACCTCTAATCTCTTGTCATCACTATAAGAGGAAGGATTAGCTATTACATGGTAGCTAAATTCCAGCTAGTCTATACACACACCTCCATCTAATTATTCTAATTACCATAGCATTGCTCATTTCCTGAGCTATTGTTGTGTGCAATGTTTGACAGCTGGCGGGTTCTGCTCCAGAGAGGGCTGCATTTGACCTTGGGGTAAAACGTTTCTGTTCTGATCACTACTTTTCCAAGGATGAGGCTGTGTGACCTCCATTTCTAGCATTTGATAGTAAAGCCACTTTCTTGCAACTAGCCCTTGAGTATCTGATGTAGAGTGATATCTGACTCCATATGCTGCGTTTCACCCTGAAGGTGATTGCTGTGTGCACTGACTCATGACTTGGGTTTTTTTTGTTTGTTTGTTTGTTTTAATTTCACTGCAGGCTGGAAGTCCAACCTCTATCTCTGCCCCTCATAGCTTCTCTCGGACTTCAGTTACACCATCCAACCAGGACATCTGCAGGTAAAGTGTGTCGTTTGCGTGGCTACAATGAGGCTCATGCAAGGGTCAAATTAAGGAAAAACAACACTGAAAAAGCACATTTATGGGGAAGTAAGCAAGGTGGGGTTCCCACATGAAGCATCCCATTTGTTTGACTCAACTGCTGTCTAACACTGCTTCGTTGAATCCTACTGACTGTTTGGCCCTGCTATGTTTGCCATTCCCACACTAGCTGTAATTCTCATTTCTTCACTTTTAATTATACGTGTTCTCTTTTGTAATTGTTTTTTACTTTCTGTGCTTTTATTCCACTGTTCTGCATGCAGTTCCAGTGCAGTGTTTTCTGAGTGTTGTCATCACAGTCCAGTGCAGTCTGCTGTTGTCTTGAAAAACCCGCACTGCCAGAGCCCTCTGACACAAGGGGTCACTGTGACAGTAATCTGTCAGGACACGGTACATGCAGCAAAGAGAAACTCCCGTGGGCACGATCGGGGCCAGGCACTCAGGTCTGCTAAGAGTGTAAAGCCCACCCGCACTCTGAAATTCTCCAAGTCCCTCAATGACGTGGACCAGAAGGCACAGAGCACCAGCGAGTGCTTTGACTATGTGGAGCGAACACGCTCAGAAGGGAAATTGACCCCAACTCAGGAGCAGTGTTTAAGGATTAACAAATTTCATCTTAAAGAGAGGAAACCACTGAATCTCAGGCCTCTTTCATTTAGCAATTCTAAGCACTCCTATATCGCTTCCCTTTCCAACTACTCGAGTGCATCAGGAGGAGCGGAGAACCACAGCGCTGTACATATCCCCTTGCTGGAGGATAAAGTGGACCATGACACTTCAAGGAGCAAAAAACTGTTGCGTTACCTTTTTTCCTTCTCCCACACCTCCAGCATCAGCAGCCTGCATAAATTTCATGAACTGGAGAGCTATTCCAGTCACTTCCAAGCTGAGAAATCCTCCAGCATGCTGGTGGAAAGCACGGACTTCTGCTCTGATGATATGGGAGACGATGACGTCTTCGAGGACAGCACCTCAGTGAAACTGAAAACAAAAGAGCAGCGGGCACCGCTCTGTTCAGTTGAGAAGGACAGTGACCTTGACTGCCCTTCCCCTCTCTCAGAAAAGTTCCCCCCTCTCTCCCCTGTGTCCACATCGGGGGATACCTGCAGGTTGGTTTACCAGAGAACCACCTACCTTTGAACCCTCCCATGTGCGGTGTGACCGTTCGGCTTTTCCCTGCTTTGTGCTGTTCGTTTCTCCTTTCACCCTGTCATCTCTCTTTAATATATGTGATTTGAAGCATGCACCTTCTCTCTGCTTACCTGCGCCACTCTGATGCACTTAACAAGGCTACTAAGCAAAATAATTTCCTTTGGAGTCAAATAAATTTGTTTCAGGTTTTAGGGTTCTGAGGTGGTATTTCTGTCTTATCAGCACCCAAGCTGGGAATATCATGAGACACTCAGCTACACATCATAAGGGCCAAGCTGCACATGTCTTAGCTTTTAATGAGCAATGTGTTATCCTGACAGCACTGGTGATTTGGTCAGAGGGTGGGAGGTGAGAGTCAGGAGGAAAACAGACTGCTTGGAAATTGCTTCTGAGATCAGGTCAATATAGCTTAAATTTATTTTTTTTCCTCAGTTTGTTTCCTGCCACACTTTCTTATTTGTAAAGGGCTCTCTGGATACCTTGGTCAAAAGGAGGGTCTGAGCGCTGGCTGTTAGTGATAGACCTGTGTGATGTTCATAGTGTGAGGTCCAAAAAGGATGGGTGCCCTTGTTCCAGCCACAGAGGATTAATCATGTGCACAGGTGGGGGGAACAGCAAGATCTTCTGCCTTCATGGTGACTTGGCTGCAGGTCTGCCTCATCCCACCTCCAAAATGTGGCTGAGGAGCAGGAGTCATCAAGTACAGGAACAAATGCCAAATCCCTCTACCTAGCATTTTACTATCCTAGACCTTCTCCTGCTTGGCAGCACTTTCTAAAGCTGACTTTGTTAGTACTTGCTAATATTATTTTATTTTCCCCCTCATTACCACCAAAATCTAGTTCCATACTGGTTTGTCATGAACAAGATGCTGTTGTAATCCACCCACTCCTTCATTTCCACTTGCCAGCTATCAGCAAGGTCGCAAGAGGCAAGATGCTACACATCAGTAAGAGATTTCAGTAATAGACAGGGATGGCAGCATGCCAGGACATGCTTCACATATGCTTAGTAACTTGTATTCATTCCCTGAGCTCCTCACCGTCCCCCTTTCAATTCATGACCTCTTCCACATGGTTAGAAGGACTTAGCAATGCCTGATGCAACCCAAGGGTTGGATATAAATTGAATCTGGAAATCAAATGTCAGCAGCTGGTAGTAAGGCTATATCAGATGTCCTTGCTGTTTGCACAGTTAGGCTGTGAGGAAAATGGGGAATTTTGCAGAGCTGATGCTTCCTTAGCAGCTCTTGCCAAGTAAGAATTGGAGAAGCAAAACCATTAGTCCATGTAGAGTGGGTGTGTTTTGGGGTTCAGGTTCAGTGCTGCAGTTTTGCGGTGTCAGTCTGTCTCTTAGCAATTGGCTCTGGAACTAAGCTCTTAGGCAGAATCCAGGCTGTCTAAATTAACTGTTCATGATACTGGGGTGAGCTGTTTTACCACTGGTTTGGGAATTTTGTTTTATCTTCTGTTTCAGACCATAATACATGAGTAGCTGTACCTCTCTGCATATTTTGTCTTGGGAAGTGCTGTCTGATCAGTTTAAATGCTGTTTTCAGTTAAGTGCTATTGGTTTGGGTGAAACATTGTAATTCTTTGCTTTGTTTTTTTCTTTTGGAGAGTGCATTTCTGTCAGACTCTGTCTCTGCCTCATCTGTTAGAAAGCAGCTGTCTAGTTAGCCGTGTCTGTGCTCAATTATTTTGTGCCTGTGTATGTGCTTGCGCAGCATCAGAGTTGTTTAGTTTTAGCTCCTTTATGGAACACATCCCTTTGATATATATGTGTCTCAGGATCCTCAGTGAACAACCATGTGTGATCACAGATAGTACATGTCTCTTCCACATCCTTTCTGCTTCCTTTTCTTCTAATGAGCAGCTTTGCTTCTGATTCAGGATATGTCACTGTGAAGGAGATGATGAGAGCCCTTTGATTACCCCCTGTCACTGTACGGGAAGTCTTCATTTTGTGCACCAAGCCTGCCTGCAGCAGTGGATCAAGAGCTCAGATACACGATGCTGTGAGCTGTGCAAGTATGAGTTCATCATGGAGACAAAACTGAAGCCTTTGCGAAAGGTAGGCACAAGACCTGTTCCCCCAGGAACATGCTTTGTTAAACACAGATCCACTCTGAAAGGAGGTTTGTCCTTGCCCATGAGCCTGCACAACCCCCATGTCTTCTTTATGGTTTTTGTGGCTCCTTACTAAGTCTGGTCAGTTTTGTATAGGTACAAAAGGTTTTAAAGTAACACTCAGCCTGGCAAATTCAACACCAGCGGAATCCAGCTCTGATAATTGTTATAGCCCAGCAGCTCTTTTTGTGTAAATGTACATACATACATATATGTGCATGCAGCAACCTGACTTTTTTCTTTACAGTTAGATTTTAGAGCACAGAAGTATTTATTTGCTATACAGTTATCCACTCTTTTTAGTATGGAGTTTAATATTACTGTTACCTACTGTAGTTTGCAGCTCCAAGATCCACACAGCTTTTAATTTCTCCTGAAAATATGAGGATTTCACATTAAAGTTAATTTAAATCACACTTTCTGAGTGTAATTTAGTTAAAATTTGTAGCTTGCTTTTTATTTTCTTTTTAAAGGATCAAGCTTATTAGTGAACATATTACAGTGTAAGGAAAAGAAGGTTCACTGGTGAATGTGTTTTCATTTTTACCTTTTCTTAGGCTGTGAATGACTAGATTTTAGTACTTCAGGTTGCTAGAACCTGTATTTTTGTTGTATAGAAAGGTACCTTTGATAAATCTGGTGACTTAAAGTACAGGCACTTAAATGCTACTTGTGTTGTAAGGCCAATTTTGTGCATTCTGTTCTCCCACATCCTCTGAGCTTTCAATTTCAGTTGCTCTTACTGTCAGAATTTTGAGATGGAAGTTACTGGTATTCTTAGCACAGACAAATCTTGCTATGTCTACGAAAGTGGAAGAGGTTAATAACACTAACCTCAGCCTGGAACTAGAATAAATGAGAAACATTAAATTCAGCTATGATGAAGCTAAATCATGTAGGGTGGGAAGTCTGGACTGCAGCCATTCAAAAACTATTATGAGAACTTGTTCAATTCCTAAAGTGACTCCTAAGAGAGAACAGAGCAGATACTAAACATCTCTTTTTAGAGAGAAATGTCATGTTTGCAAAGTATATAGCTTAGTATGTCCAGTTCATAGGATATCCTCTGCCTGTGACTGTAGTGAATCATGGCCTTCCAAGAACTGCAGATTTTTCCTTGGTGTAGCTCCTCGGCACAGATCCTAGTACTTCCAAGCTGCAATATTGGCCATCATAGGCTCTGTTGTCTGCACAGACAATACTTTGCACAGCCCAACCGTAGGACAGTCAAGGAATTACTCTAGAGAATCCAAAGTAAGAAGAGTTGCTATAGTTGTCACTTGGCTGCTGGGTTTTTTTCTGTGTTCTCTCTGCCTGAAGTGAGTGAGAACCATTTTCATAATACTTGTGTCCTATGAGGAAAACACTGTTGTGCACCTTCAGAAATGAGTCAGTCAGCATCATTAGTTATATCTGAACAGGTCATCTGTGGGAAACAGACAAAATGCCAGAAGGTAGGGATAGAGCCATAAACAGAAGGAAAAGTTTACCTCTAAAATGCATCTAAAGAGTCCTTTTAGAGGTTCAGCTGCAGCAAGAAGGTAATCTGCCTCTGTATCTTCAGCTCAGCCCTTATGGTGTCTTGTTAATCAGGAGAAAACAGTCTGGAACTGGTGATTATGAACAGGACGGGACAAATAATAGGGCTTGTGCTTGTCTGTAGGGCAGAAATGGAACTAAACTTCCTCAGCATCTTAAGGGTTGAATTGCAGCATTGGACTGTTCAAATACTAAATTACTAAGGGAAAAGGATGAGCACCAAAATGTGATATGGCTCAAATGACAATGGGGAGAAAAGAGAGTGATGCTTCATTTTAAAATTTCAGTAGAATGAAAGATGACATTAAATTTTCTGCTGATTTTTTTTGTTTTAACAATACTTCAAAAACCCAGAAGCGCTAACTGTTTCAGGTGGGAAATGCCACATATTGTGCCATTGGAATACTGCATCAGGGACCTACAGATTTGAGCTTCCTCCCTGGGCTAGTGCACAGTTTGCAGAGTATCTTCTCCTTTGCTTTGCAGTCACATCTCTTGAAGAGGTGAGGTGGTGCAGGTTAGTTTGGTGGCTGTGGAGACAGCAGTTTACAGGAGTCATTGCCCAGCTGAGGAGCTCAAGCTGTGAATAGAAAAGAGAAATAAAAAATAGTCAAAACACAGGTCCTCATGACTCTGTAAAAGCATTTGAAAATAGATTTAACATGGTTACTTTTTAGCAAAATAAATTTATTAATTTGCACTCTATCCAAAGGAAACACTATTGTTTAGGTGCAAGAGCAGTTTTCTGTTTGAAGTACAACATTCAAAGGGAATGTTTTGTCCAATCATTTTCTAAGACTGAAAGGCAAAGCTTTCTAGTGTGACATGAGTCTAGCATGTCATTCTTGAAGTGTTTGGTTCTTGTGCCATGATGAGGTTTGGATGCCCACACAACTGGAGATGTGACTTGGACTGGCCAAAGAGATTGTTTGTTGGCAAGACAGAGAGGATCTGTCTCTTGTTTTGACCATTCTTGTATTTGTAGCAGTGGAAGCAGTAATTCAACATAATGTGTGAATTCAGTCATACCTTTCAGGTCATCCTCACTCTCTTCCACATTATTCCTCCTTTTCAAAGTCCTCTTTTTTCTATGCACCTCTCTAGAAACACACAGATATGCATGAGAAGTTTATGTGACCCTGCATATATTTTGTGAAATTGTGAGAAAAGCCCGTCTTAACTTTGTTCCAAGTAGATATGCTGAGGAATGTGTGTCCCACATGCAAAAACTTTCAGCATATACATAGGGGAAGTTACAAAAACAAACAAAAAAGGCAGCTTCTGGGTGTCTCAGGTAAGAAAAATAAAAGCTGGATCTTTTTACAATTCCTTGCATATTAGAAGCATCTATAATAATTGTCTAGTTTCTTTGTATCTTTCCTAAATGACAGTGACCTGATTTTGTGGTTTCATTTTGGGCTATATAAGCATTATTGATAGATGCAAGTCTGGGGATTTCATTTGCTGTGTCCTCTCACCTAGAAAAGCTGTTCTGCTTCATCCCAGTTCTACTGTATATTCTTAGGGTGTATGTATTTAAGTGCACTTGAAACACTGAAAATAAATGTCGAGTGTCGTTGCTGTAAGTAGTGTTAAATATATGTGAAGATTGAATGAAACCCCCAGAGGCAGGAGGTGAGAGCTAAACAGCCTCGAGCTGAGATCTAAACTGCCTTGACTGTGCTCCAAGGAACTCTGAGAGCTCACCATGAGGTCTTAGTGGGTTGCTCAGTTGGATCATTTACCACTTCTGTTTCAGTATTTTACTCAATGCCTGCCTGAGCAAGGGTGCCCTTTCCCACTCACGGTGCTCAGCTGTGGCTGTGGGTACCTGCTGCCAAGAGGGGAACACAGGAAGGAGCAGCATTACTTGCACTGCACAAGGTCTCACTCTGTGCTGGAGCTGCTCCTGCGTGGGGACACAGGGTGCGATGACATGACATGATTTAGGGGTTACAAGCAGAGTGACAGCTAATGGTTGGACTTGATGATCTTTGAGGTCTCCGCCAACCTTGACATTTGTGTGACATTGTGCTGAGGCTCTGGGTGGGAGCTGAGCACTGGAGGTGCCCCTGGCACCAGGATGGTTCCTGTTGCAGGAGGGTAAGCTGGCAGCTATCACACATGTGCTGTGGCCAGAGCATTAGTGCCACCTGACTTTTAAAAGCCTTGTTAGGAGAAAACTGGTCTCCTGCCCGGTTTGTTGTTCTTATCACTGTTCTCTTTTCATACTCTCTAGTAACTACAATAAACACCTAATCTCTTGCTCTGGTTCCGGGTTTCTTGCCAGTGGGAGAAGCTGCAGATGACGGCGAGCGAGAGGAGGAAGATCATGTGCTCTGTAACATTCCATATCATTGCCATCACCTGCGTTGTGTGGTCTCTCTACGTCCTGATAGACAGGACTGCTGAAGAGATTAAACAGGGACAAACTACTGGTATGTTACTTGCTTACCTTCCCACATATTCCCTTGAAGGAATTATTTGTCCTGAATGCAGAGAGGATGCAGAGCACAACTGTGCAGATAATGTTTATACTTAAACTAGTCAGCTTTACCCCAAGGGTGGGTTGGTTTAAAAGCACAGTTCTAAAATGATTTAGTTAAATCAGTGTAAATTAATCTATAGGTGCTTTTAAAATCTCTTGCGGGTCAATGCAGTTTGCACTTGTGAAATGCAGAGATGTGAGAGCTGATCTAATGTACCCAGACACAAAGTTGCATTGCCTGAGTTAATTTAGGTTTGTATTGGAACACTTGGGGAGCAGATAAAGACCTAAGCATTTGTTTGCTGCTATGGCTGCCTTTAAACTGGGCCAAACCAGAACAATTTTAAAAGAGGGAAGAAGTAAGAGGAACCTAAATCCAAATCTTTGAGGTAAATCAACTGGGTTTTCTTTCCGTTTAGTCATCTGTGAGGTGGTTTAGCACAAGTTTCCTGTGAGAGCTATGTTAGACTGGACTAATTTTTGAGTGATTGTGCTTGAAGCAGAAGAAATTCAGGTTGATTCTGAGGACTCCAATTCATGAAGCTGAGATGAGGTGCACTGCAATTCATGTCGTGGCTGCCACCCCACTGCATGGGTGTCTTGACCTCTTAAATAGTAGGTTTTCTTTAGTATTTCAACAATAAACTTACCAAACTGAAATGTGCTTACCCAGGGATGCTGGGCTTCAGGTTTGCAGCTGTCACAGAACTGTTTCTCAGGCAGCTGAGCTGTGCCTGAAAGTAAGGATAGAAGGAGTCTGCCAAGGCTGGGAGCTGTTAGAAGGCAAGACATCCTTGCTTACAGAGCACTGCATGCCAACTGGACATGCAGATGGGAAATGTTTTGCTGGTGATTGAACAGTGTCATCTGGGCAGGTAGGTGAGCATTAATAAACCTGCAAATCCACAGAGCTCTTACAGGTCTCTTGAGAGCAGAATCACTTGAAGTTTAAAAGTTTTCCTCTCACTTGGGCTATAGCTTGACTGTTCATGACTTCAGTCAGGAACCTGCTTTGAATTAAATCTCTTAGATTCTGTTCCATCCGACCCCTTCTCTTCCATGCACAGTAAAAATTATTGGCCTTTCAGTGCAAGGTTTCTATCTGATAATGAAAAGGATATGCTTTCAAAGATTCATCATCTCCAGGTTATTTTAAGCAGTAAATACATTAGATGAACATGAATAGGAGGAACAGTGTGAATGTCTGGTACATGTTATAGTGCCTTCTTTGCTCCCTTCATTTGTATTCTAAATCTGGGGAGTTCTGTAATGAGCTAGGCTGTGTGGGGAGTGTGTGTGTGTGTGTGTGTATGCATTCATGTCCACACAGGGGCAAGCATACACTGTCATTGCCTACAGGTGGCATCAGACAGCTCACCTGTGAATCAGAGCCTCAGGTATTAATCATGGGTGGGATTTCATCAGTAGTGAGCTGCAATGCCCTTTGTATTTTGGGTCTAAAATAGTTTCATTCCACCCACACTACCGTGCATTTCCAAAAGAGCACCGTCCTGTATCTTGGTAAAAGCATTGAAGGGTTGGAAGGACATGATTTTATTCTCTGAAAACACCTGATAGTGGGTGATTCAGCATGGTTTGATATCCATCTTGTGATGGGGCTTATCTTTAAAGAGGCAAGAGGCTGGATGAATACAGGACCTATGTAAGCAGAATATGTATAAAATGAATAATCTCTCATTTAAAAGTAGTTGATAGAAATGTAACAAGATCCAATGTCTAAGAGTTCAAGCTAGACAAATTTAGGAAAAGTAATTATGGTCATTTTTGATGGCAGAGGGTAAGCTTGGAATGCCTTAGCATCTCCCACACTTGCAATTTTGTATCAGAAGAGATGCACTAGTTCAGCTACAAGTTACTGAGTCTGATGCAGATAAAAATGTCTGGTATTCTGGTAATTCTGCATAATTAACATGTCAAGCTATATGATAACAGTCATTCCCTGATGTCTTCATGTACTGTATGATCACAGAGTGGAACGGTGAGTGCAACTCACCAAATTGAGTCTCCTGCTATGAAGAGGAAACAATGCTATAGAATCCCTTTCATAATTTGATCCAGGTTTTGTTTAAGAACAGGTGTAAAAGGACCTAAACATTATTAATGGTGGTTGCCTTGACTCTGTGCTGTATGAGGGCTAACACAGAAAATCATTTGTTTTGGTTTTCCTCTGGTGAGGGAGAAGAAATGTGATATGTGACATAGAAATTGGGGAGGGTGGGGGGGGAAGACCAAACAAGAAAAACGGCTAAATAAGAATAGTTTGCATGACCCAAACTCGGTGACAGTTTACTTACAGGACATTTTGGAGAGATCCAATATAGTCCAGATAATATTGACCAGGTCCTTTTTCTAATTCTTTATTTTATTTTCCTTCTTCCAGGGATTCTAGAGTGGCCATTTTGGACTAAGCTGGTAGTTGTGGCGATTGGTTTCACTGGAGGACTTCTGTTCATGTACGTACAATGCAAAGTGTACGTACAGCTGTGGAAGAGACTTAAAGCTTATAACCGAGTAATATATGTACAAAACTGTCCGGAAACTAGCAAAAAGAATATTTTTGAAAAACCTGCACTAATGGAGCCAAACTTCGAAAGTAAAGAAATGCTTGGGGTGCACCATTCAGACACAAACTCTTCACATTACACAGAGCCAGAAGACTGTGCTGCAGAAATCCTTCATGTCTGATTGCTGGGTGGGAGGGGTGTTTCTGTATGTCCTTGAAGATCTGAAATATCATTGTTTACTGCAAACTGCTCTACCTTTTTAAAATCAGCTAACAGCTGAGGGCTGGCGGATGGATTTTTTTACATTTGGTTGTTTGGTTTTTTTGTTGGAATTTTTTTAAATCCCTTTGGCATATCTGTCAATGTCATCATGGTTGCATACCTCTCAACATTTTGTGTCTTGTACTGGCTGGCCAAAAAGCCACAGGATATTGGGTAGAATGAGCCTTGGGTTTGGTATCAAGCAATGTGCTAGTTGAGCGGTCATCAATTTCATGGAGTCTGTTACTTTAGAAGATGACTCTGGATGATTCTGGAGGATGTGTTGAGTGGAGTTGGTTGGTTGGCTTGTCCATTCTTTATGGGTGATGAAGGAGGTTGTCCCAGACACTGAGGGAAATGAGAGAGCTAGAGTCTAATCTACCACTAACACTGCCACTAACATTTTGTCTTAGGCAGCAGGTGTAAAATTTTGCTTTACATATTGTGATGAGACTTACAAAGCATATAGCACTTTTAAAAATCTTTATTTTGTAATATGTATGTCAAATGAGAATGAAACTTGAAAGAATGTGTTGTTTTTGAAACATTTCTCCATTCTTTACCCCATCTGTTCCTCTGGAACATAAACCTCTTGCCTTATAAAAGAAAAAAAATTAAAAAAATTCCAACCTGTGATTTCCAACACATGCCCACATTATCTTACTAAACATGACACTAAAGAACTCTGCCTCTTTGGGTTTCCTTTGAGGAGCAGTTTTCTTCAAAGGATATTGCACTTGTGACTTGTGTGTGGGGAGCAGTGGATGTGTACAGTGTTTGTTTTCAATGCATAATGGTTTCAGTGTTCTGTTTCGGGGATTGGTTTTGCTTTTTGGTTTTTTTCCAACAGGTCAGACCATCAACACACCTGCACATATATACCTGATGTAACTTTGATTCCGAACCATTGGTAAAGGGTTTATTGCTATATGGATACAAATGTGAGCTGTTATGGAAAAAAAGAAACGTAGTCAATACAGCTGAAATTGGTTTTTCCTTCTTTAGTGCTGTGTCATGTGTGAATTACCCAGGAATTTGATGTTATCAGAGGAGATGCTGAGATCAAAGTCTAGGAAGTAAATGTCACATGAAGTGGATGAGTTTAAAAATACCTGCCTGGTTTTAGTCCTGATGTGGTGCATTACATGGTCAGAGAATAGCTTTGTCTGTGCTTTTGAATTTGGGACTGGCTTTTTAATCAGTCAGCCTTAATGCAAAGAGAGAGACAGCTTTAAAATCTGTTTATAGGGCTTTAGACAGAGCACCCCCAAAGCCTGAGGTGTGGGCTCTTGATTCGTTTATCCAGTCTGCTTCAGTGCACCACTGTCCAGCTTCAAGCCCTCATTTAACCAAAGTGTCAGTGTGACTGGAGCAGAAACGAAGCCCCAGGAAAATCAGCAGATGAGGCCTCTGCATCTGAAAGCTGACTTTGCCTACCTGAGCCCTGTCTAAATCTCTGTAGAGTCAATGATGATAATCTGGTTGGTTTTAGTAGGAGTTGCCTGGAGTTCTCAGGTAAAAGTTTCTGTTTACTTGTTGAGATACTGAACTAAATTCTGAGCTCTGGTTCAAGTTTTGCTTAGTATTTTCCAAGTGCAACTTTAGGTACTTTCTTTTTGTAGTAAGAGTAGTTGCTTTAAGACTTCCCAAAGAATAACAGTAAGAGATCGGTGATTTTTTTGTTCTTTAAAATGTAATATTAATTTATTTCTAAATCAGTATTTTAATAGAAGGCAGAGAAGGGACTATGGTAAGAGAACACACCCCAGTGGTTTCTAAGAGCTGTTAGAGGAAAAGCGTTGTGTGTGCGTGCCTCTGTCACCTCATGCTTGAAGCTTACTGTCTGTGATCCTCATGAACAACATGGGACCTTGTTCTCGAGGCCTGTTGAAACATCCAGACCTCTGGGCAGTCCCAGCAAAGCTGCACTGGCATGGGTTTGTGTACTGTACTAGGTGTCAGGGTGTCCTGTGCTTATGTGATACAGGCAGACAAACCCTGCATCCCTGCTAGCTTCAGGGCAGCAGTCATCATGACCATACACACGCAGAGTTTGTTGCCTGTGCCTGCCATAATTCAAAGTGCAATTACTCAGGCCTTTTCCTGAACTCTGCTGTGGGTGATCCTCTTCTGCTATGAGAACCCAGATAATACACTGTCTTGTTTTGTTTCCTGTTTTGTTTTGTGAAAGATTTACTAGCTAAACTCAGGTGGGTTAAATATCAGGTCTTGTATACCTTCATCATATTCTTCTGAACTGCCCAAGGGCACCAGGCTGACATGTCTGCAAGATGTTCATGTTACAGCTGCAAGATGCACAGAATCGACTGCAGACTGATGCTGTGCACATTCTCATCCAATCTGTGGACAGTAGGTGACATGAAAATGGACAAGTTCTGGTATGGAACCTGGTTTTTCTCCAGCTCTCACCTGAGAAGCACTGGTGTGCAAGCGATGTTCTGACAAGTGCCAATATGGCATACTGTAACTTGCTGGTCCTGTTTCAGTCACTGTCATACATGATTCTTGGTGAAACATTGTGAAATCTCATTTGGTGTTTTGGAAGCTCCATGTGGAACGTGCCAGGTAGTGTTCAGTGTATTCAGGGTACTGAAGGATTTTGCTGTGTCCCTGAGTATCTTAACTTTAAAAGAAAAATCATCTCCAGCAAAATCATCTGGGAAAAAATATTTGTGGATGAAACTGTTTTAGCCAGTGTTGCTGCTAACCATTCCCTCTCCCAGCAGGTCTTTTCTGAATGAAAATTAAGGCCTAATATTTAAATTCTTTGTACTGCTTAGAAATGCTCATACCAGGAAAGGCTGCAGAAGAGATCCATCTGTCAGGGGGATTCATTTATGCTGGTCACACTTCTCATGCTGATTCTTGCTTGCTGTTAATAGTGGGCTTCTGGAGCTGCACTCCTCTGCTTCTGCATGGTGCCGTCAAATGTTTGAGAAGGCTGAATGGTGCTTTTTTCTTCTTTCTCCTCAAGAAGATACTGTTGACTTTTTTTCAGCTTCCAGCTGTGAGGCACTGATGCTAGCTCAGGTGAGCTCTGTCCTTCTTGCCCAGATGTCAGTAAGGGGAACAGCCACCCCCTGTCAGATCAGGCTTTCAACATTTCCTTCTGGCAGCTTTTGAAATGACTAAAGTAGAAGTCTGGCTTCTTTTTTTTTTTGTCCTTGTTCCTTGGCCGAAGTTAGTTTGGGTTACCTGGGACTTTTCTGAGACCAGAATTGGAAGTAGGAGGGAATATAGGCTTAATAGCATCGACTACATCTGACCAGACTCCCATGTTATTGATGTAACTCCTGTCCAAAAAAACACCATCTGAGCCAAGGAAGTTTCCCTGCCATGTCACATTTGATGTATCTGACAGGTCATGAACCTGTGATGAAATACAGGTGTGTGCTGCAGAAGGTTGATCCCGTTTAAGAGAGCACGAGATGTTAAATTCCTATGAATTCTCAGGACTTTCTTCAACTGTAAGCCTGTATTTTGGGAGCAGGAGTGGTGTTTCAAATGTTGCCCTGTGTTCTGAAGGGATGGCCGGACCTGGAGGCAGCTTACTCTGGTTCAGTGTCATTGAGATTGGCTTTGCTTCAGCAGCAGGCTTTCAATGAAGGTTGCACTGAGCCTGCGAGGGGCTAGAGAAGTACTGGGCCTCTGTGCTGCACCTGGGAAGTCTGGGGAAGAAGTAGTAGCTCTGTCCAAGCACACTTCTGCCAACCCCCTGTACTGATCAGAGCATTAGTCCCTCTTGGGGTGCTGTAAGGAAGGGGCTGCTTGGCCTGCTGCTCATCAGAAACCTTTGGAGTGATGCATGGATGTGGCCACGCACCAGAGTTGGTTGCTTCTGCCCTGTGTGTGGCAGGGTAAGTATCTATTGCAAAGTGGGACCTGGGTCCAAATTTCTCCTAAAGCTGAAGTGTGTTAAGATACAGATTTCTGGTGTAGTCTGCTGTGGAGATTGTGGCCAGCAATGAAAGGGAGGTCGGTGGCTCTGGGTTGAGTTCCTCACAAATGTGGGTGAAACAGGGCAAATAGAAAAGCAAGGATATTGCTGGCTGGATTTCAATAGCATTATATTAGATATGCAAAGAAAACTTCTAAGTGGGACCTTTTATTTTGTGATTATTTTTTAGTTTTGAGATATTGCAGTGTCTGTATATTCCAATGAAGTACTGAAAGCACTTGTCTTTGTATAGAAGATAATTGTTTAAAAATTGCAGCTGATCTTGTATTTAGATAAAACATTTGTAGATAGGTAATTGTAAAATGTTAAACAACTTTACACTGGCATGTGTTGTATAGTTTATACAAGACACTTCACACTTCTGCAGAATTTTTAGTTAGTAAATTTCTAGTAACTTAAATGTATAGTTTTATATCCTTTCATGTATGTTTGTTTTCTCAGTATTACCTCTTGCAGAATTATTTTTAGTTTCTAAAACTGTAATTGGTTATTTGTGTGTGATACACAGGGTTATTGACTGCAGCAATAAAGTGTTTCTATAAAAAAAAAACAGAACAAACCAAAACCATTATAGTATCCATTTTGTTTGAAAAAGCATAGAGAGAAAAACTGAGCTCTCCAGTAGTAAGATAATGGTCAAAGTGAGTTCTTTCACTGGAGTAAACACAGAACTTGATGGCTTTTCAGAGCAGCACACCAACACGGAGTAGCATTCCATGACAATTTGATGTTAAAATGATTCATCATGATTAAAGGAATAGCAACCATCAGAATAAATGGGCAACTCCTTCGATGCAGTGAGAAGATGTGGCTGTGCAGGTGCTTTGTCCTCAGATGCTGGGATCATGGGGAGAATTTTCTGGCTTCTGCCATGCAGGGGGTGGGGAGAGAAGATTCGTATGGACCTTAACATCTAGAGCTTCTGGAATCAACACGGAGTG